CAGTCCATAGCACAGTCTAATTGGTACCTTTGTGAAGGCCCTCCACTCTTTCCTTGAACAGATGTCTGTTGGGAGCCTGCTCTGCACACAGAGGTTAAGTGCAGTGTACACACTGTCCCTATGCCCATGCAGCTCAGGCCTTCATTTTTTTTTTAATTCCAGAAATATTTAAATAGAAATGGTTGTATAAGACATGAAGGCAGGTACATACCCAGGCCAGGGTAGGCTCCCCAGAGGAAGTGACTTCAGAGCTGACAGCTGGGGCAGGGGTGGGGAGGGGGTTAGCTAGGTAGACAGGTAGGGGAAAAGAGCTTTCTAAGCTAAAGAAATAGCAGGAGCAGAGACCCCCAAGTGGGAGAGGCAACTGAAACTGTATGGCTAGAGGATCTGAGGACAATTGCCCCCATTTAGGTGAAAAAACATGTGCTATGTGAGAACTTCCCCAAGGAAGCTTTTTACCCAGAAAGGGGGCTTTCTGCTGGGGTTAGTAATCAGATAGCAGAGTGGTGTGTCTCAGGGTTGTGAGCAGGGTTGGCTGGCCTCCTCTGGGTGCGGGTGGGGGTGGGGATGGGGGGAAGCTAGGCAGCCTGGGGGATCCAGTTCTGACAGCAATCTTGGCCTTTTTGCATCTCAGCACTGCCTGATTTCCAACTTAGTGCCAAGAACCAAGTTTGTGATTCATGAAATCTCTTTTTTTTAAGTTAAAAAAAAAAAAGTGTCCTCAAGATAGAACATTTCATCAGCAATCCCAGGAAAGTAGAAGTAAATACGGTAAAATAAAACCGAAATCCTTTAACAAGTTCTGCTTCGTGCTAAATGACCTGTTTCTGACAGATAGCCATACTTAAAGGAAACTTCTGGCCCATCCACTTTGCTTTAAATGCTTTCTGAGCAGGTCGGTAGTCCTCTCTTCTGCTACTTCTGTTTTAGAACACGAACTGTCTTCTCTAAAAACATATGCTTAAAATTTGCAATTTTGTGTCCTGCAGACTCTCTGGAATATGGTTAGAAACTGAAATCACTTGCCTGTGAAGATGCATAATATAATTGTATCTGGTGACCCCCCCCCCCATTTAATGACATGGATTGATATGTCACTGTTCTTTCACTGCTGCTTTTTTTTTTTCTATTTTATTTCTTTTTAAATAATGGGCACACTTTGCCCTCGGAATCCTGTCTCATCACATTCTCTGAGTTCCTAACACACAGTTGGCACTCAGGAAAGAAATGTGACACAAAGAAATGATGATATCCAGCATCTTCTCTTGGGCTGGTTCTGTGATTGAATTCTCACCTGCAAGGTTAGTGTCCCTCCTAGACTACCCAGGAGGAATCAGCTTCTCCACGAGCCCCTGAGATCCTCCTGAGAAGGAGCTGGATCTTCCTTTCCTATGAATCCTTGGCTCCTGGCTCACAATAAATGTTTATTAAATGACTAGCATCAAAGTCCCACTCATGCTGTTGTACAAAAAAGTCCATTCCTGGAAAAACAACATTTCTAGAGATAATTATTCCAAAGGCGTGGGGATTGGTACTAGTCCTGGAAGCAGGGCAGCCCTCAGCAACATTCTTTAGTCAGTAGAGTGGATCCTTCTGGTCATCACTGCTCACCACATCCACTCCCCAGCGTCTCGCCTTCGGCCATCAGGTCTTTATCTCTGGCTCCTCGCTGTCTGGCATCAGGGAGCACTCATGCTCCCGATTGATTCCATCAGAATAAATAGCTCCCGTCTCCCCTCCCTCAAGGCCCTGCCATGGGCTTTCCAAGATGGTAGCAAGCTAAGAAGAAGCCATGGGCCATGCATGGTCTGCCCCAACTTGGCCTTTTCCAACCCCAGATTCCTCTCTGCCCAAGACAGGCTTCAGGTAAGGAAGCGAAGCCTTACCCATGCAGTTCCTTCTGTCTGGTGTTTGCTCCTCCCTCCAGTCCTCCCCTGCTCAAGGACGTCAAATTCATTCTTCAAGGTGTAAATCAAAACAGAATGTCTTCTGCTGAACACCGTTTGTCGCGCTTTGGGCAGTGTGACGCTCTTCCACTGAGCACACTTAACTGCATTATATTGCACGTACCCATTTTTGGAATTAGCTCCCATGTGAGACTGTGAGTCCTGGCTTTCATCATTGATTCCCTGAAGCCTAGCACATCCCTAACCCGGACCACAGTTGATTCCTTGAAAGACAGGGAGGAAGGGGAAGGAGATGAGAGCAGGGGCGAGAGAAGGAAAGGGCAGCCTCTCATTCCTTACTTGTTCTAACGTTGCCTGAGGGGCAATGTTGTGGCTGAGATTAAGAGAAGAAAGAACAGGGAACAGAGGGGTTTGGGTCTAGAAGGGGTTAAAATTTTTCGTGGGCCTGAAGGCTTCCCCCACATCATTTAATGAGATGTCTCTTCCAGGGCTTGGGATACACAGAGCAATGGGACTTCATAACACTTCAGCCTTGCTCACTTTGCTCCTGACTGGTCTGGAACTGGGGTGAATTTTTTCAATTCAATTCCATTTCTAGGGTGAGGCAGATCAACCAAAGCCCAGTGACCAGAGTATTACAGGAGCCTTACAGGAATGGTGAGTTTGGAAAGACCAAAAGGCTATGTGGTCTCTGTTGATGTCACTTTCCAAAGCAGTGATCGCCGTTGTCACGAGCAACCTCAGGCCGGGCAGGTCCTCACCCACGTATTCCTAACATGGCCAGTGGCTGTGTGCTGGGAGGATTCCCTCCACACAGTGATGACATTCAGTTAAGCCACAGTTTCCTTGACCAGGGAGGAAACCCCCGTGTGGTTTGGGGTTGGGGGTGTGGTTGAGCAAGCGCAGATTTTTTCTCGTTGCCCCGTGGCTTGAAATTGCAACCTCTCTTTTAATTTTCCATTATGCATCAAATACATCTCTGCCAGAAGTGGACAAATGTATTCCGTCTGGGATGATGATCCCAGACAGCAATAAATTAGAGTCTGTGTACAGACATGCCAAAAATGTGGCCGCATGGTAGGGTGTCCCTGGGACCAGTCACCTCCTCCACAGTCTGCTTGGTGGCTGCAAGCCTTGGCCTGATGCCTCTGTCAATAGATTTTGCTTTGTATTTGGAAACTGTCTTTCCATCAAGTCACCGCGAGGCAAGACGGGGGAGGGGGTTGCCTGTGTGGCTTTGCTGGGCATATCTGTCCCAGGTAGCCTCAGGGAGCTTCCAGGACAGTGCCTTCCCAAGGGCATCACTCTCTTTCCTGCACAAGAACAGCAATGACCTCAAAGCTGGTTTCTTCCCAAACTAGAACACGGCCCAAGAAAACCCTCTCCACTTTTTCTGGATTGAGCAGATAAGCTACCATATAATGCATCGAGAAAACAACATTTTTAAATGTACAAGAGTAATTACATGCTTCATGCGGACAATTTAAAAGATAGAGTGAAAAGAAAAAAGCCACCTGTAATCCTACCTTCAAAGATAAATACTGTGAATGTTTTAACATGACTTCTTTCAATATTTTTCCATGCCATGCTACCCTTTTAAAAATGCAAAACTCTTTTAAAGCTGGTTGAGTCCAGCTCCTTTAGTTGTCCCTCACATTATCCAATTAGTGCTTTCCTCTGAGTACTGGAAACTTTTACTTATTCCACATGAGAGAGTCCAGCTGGTTGAGCTCTAGCCCCTCTGACTCCTCACTGAAGTCACGCCGCTCTTCTGAAGAAGCTGGCCTGGAGGGGACAGAAGAGAATGACTAAGGCCTTCTATAAGTCCAGCCAGAGAACCCCAAAGGGCAGCCCCAGGTCTTGATATGCAGCCCTGCTAATAGAGGGACCCTGTGTACAAAGGGCTCTGGTCTGCCCCTGACTTTGATACCATTTTTCCTTATTAAACCTCTACTGGTCTGGCTTCATCCTGTCCTGTTGCCAGCATCTGCGTCTGCTCTTGGGACAGGGACAGGGACAGCCTCTAAACTGTTCATCTCGTGACAGGCTAGGGACCCCCACACTAACTAGATGGGTTGGCAGAACTAGGAGGCAGTCTTTATATCTGCTTACTTCCCCGTGTGACTTGAGTCCAGAAGATGCCCCGCGAATGTCTGTTGCTTGATTGACGTGATGCAATTCGGGATGGGTGTTTGTGGTGGGAGCCTGCCGGCAGGCAGTTGCCACAATCCTGCAATGATAGAAAAGACCGAGCGTTGATGCAGAGCCTCACAAAAGCTCTCAGAGTGGCCCAGAGGAAGCAGGCAATGAGTCTACCAACCACTGCCTGCACCAGCCACACGGCCTCACCGTGAGCCGCACAGCACACAGACCATGCTTTTTCAGAAAAGTATTTTTTCCTTTCTCACTTTCCATGGAAACTCAAAATAGCAACCAAAAAAAAAAAAACCCAAAACAAAACAAAACAAAAAAACGGCCGAGCTCCCTCTCTGCCTGCAAAACCATCCCCAGGCAGGACAGTGACCGTGGAGGGCCCGGGGAGAAAGTGTCCTAGATGTCTCTGAAACAGCTTTCTAACTGGCCCTGCACACTCCTGAGGTGTGGGCAGGTCCTGAAGGTTGTGTGTTTCCTTCTAATTTAGAAGAGTGGGTTTCCACCAGGTCTGAGAGTTCATCTTGCTGTTGGCAACCCAGAGGCTGAAACACAGTCCCTCTCACAGTGATGCTGGTGAGGAGGTCTGGGGTCCCCAGCAAGGGACAACAGGGCAGGGGGCAGATGCCTTCCAGGGGGACTGTTATTGGAACATTCTTTTTGAGACGCCTCCCCGGGCTGTGCTGTCCACAGGGCAGCCCAGCAGAACAGGGACAACTCAGCTTGGAATCAGGAAACCCCAGTTCTGATAATCCCGCCAGGGACCTGGGGGGATTTGAGCTCATCGTTTCTCCTCCTCCAGGAAATGTGAAGGGCAGACAAGCTGATTTCTAAAGGGATAGACTTTTCCAGCCTCAGCACTCTGTGCCCCCAGCCCTCTCCTGGGCTATGTGTACCCTGTCCCCTTCCATTTGCTAAAAACCAGTGTTGTTTCCCCTTCAGTTGGCAGGGTCTGCTGTCATTGGTTTTGGACTATGGTTTCGGTTTGGAGGCACCATCAAGGATTTCTCATCGGAAGACAAGTCCCCAGAGTATTTCTACATGGGTGAGTGATTTCAGCTTCCCTGAGCTTCAGCTGGAGCTGCCCCAGAGGCTTAGAGAAGAACCTGCACCTGGACTTCCGTGGGAGGGGAAGTGAGGAGGCAAAACTGAGTCCTGTAGACTCTATCTGGCCCGGGGGGCTGGAGGGGCTATGTGGTCAGGGCAGGGGAGGACCCTGCACCCCTAGCCTGCCCGCTTCTCACGTGGTTCATCGAAATCAAGAAAGACCAGTGTGGGAGGACGGACCCACTGTGCTTCTTTCAGCCACCACTCATTTCCAAAGAATTAGAAGACTCCTTTTTGCCTGCTGAGCGAAGTGGATGCACCACAAAGTCAGTTACACATCCATCCATCTGGGCTGATATGGTCCCTGCCGAGTGAGGGGTTTATTTGTGATCTTGTATTTTAAGTTGTCCATGAGGGAGATATAATTCCAAGTGAAGAGACATTTCAAGGTTCAGAGGTACTCACTTCCTCTCTAACTAGAGACTGCAAAGGGCAGGGCTCCCCTGGGGATGAGGCCGCCTCCCCCACAGCTGTGGGGAAGGGGTGAGGGGTGGGAGGGTGGCCTGCAATTCTGAAACAATGTGGTAAATAGGGGCTGAGCGTTTCCCTGGGTTTAGTCCCTCTGATCTACTTCTCATCCTCTTCTGCGGGCTGTCCTCACTCTCCAGCCGAGTGCACCCAGACTCTAGATTTCAAAAAGCCCGAAACCATTGTCACTACAGGTCATAGCCCTATGTGTCTGGCCATTCCAAGGTCTGCACCAGCCACAGAGTACATAGAGTATGGGGAGAAGCAGGGTCCTGTGCAGGTCATTTGCTCCCGGTTCGAAGAAAAGCATCTGCTTCCTGGGAGGGAAGGAGTGCCCAGGCTCACTCCAAGCCTCGTAAAGGGCTGCTCACAGCTCTGCTGCCTCTTCTTCCCAGTGCCCTTCCCAAACCCGAGCCTCCTGAAGAGAGCAGCCATAGCAGCGAGGATACTTCTAGAAGAAAGTAACCACAAACCTACTATAAGATGGGCGGCAGTAAGGACAGTCCACATTTCCCCCAAATCTTAGATGCAGTCTTTTGTAAAACACACAGTTATTTTAAGTTCCACTAAGAAAAGAAGAAATGCTGCCAGTTCAACCATGACATACCATAAAATATGCATCCTAATTTTAGGGACATTAAAATGTGAATATGTCCAATGTATATTGAAATTGGTGAAACACGCTGAAAGAAGCGTGGAGATGGGGACTCTCCAGAGTTAGTTCAGAGTTCAACAAAGTCATCAAGGACCAAGGTTTTTTCCATCTTTCCCCTGGCCATCCTCGGGATGACCTCAAATGCATCCCCTCAGGTTTAAAAGATAGTTGCGGTGGCTCCAAGTATCATATCCTCATACAGCAATGTCCAAAAGAGGGGGAAAGAAAGGAAGTTTCACCTCACATGGCCCTTTTTAGGAATGAATACAACCTTTGTCAGAAGACCCCCAGCAGACCTCTCGTTGCAGCCTTGGCCAGAACTGTACTGTGTGCTCATGCCTGAATGAGTCCTGGCCAAGAGGAGAGCTCCTGTGACTGCCCCCTGTGACTAAAGGAGAATCACCCTGGGCTTGGGAAGGGGCCCAGGCTCCCCAGAGGGCCCCTCACACTTGGAAAAATCAGAGTTTTGTTACAAGAAGAAGCAGAGGAATCTGCCATCACACTTAACACTGAAATGCTCTTTTCCACCCACATGGTTTCCAGGTTACACACACCCCTCTGTCCAAAGCTAACACACACACTTAACATATTTCTCCTTGAGGAACTCCTGGCTCTGTGAACCTCCTCAGAAGCGTTTTCCATCCCAGAGCAGGCCCCAGTGCCCCAGGACAAAGCTCAGCCACCTCCAGGGGACGCGCAGGAACAGTCAGGGGAAGGTAGCAGAAGGAATGCATCTCCCCTCATGTTGCTCATGGTCCTGGGGCAGCTTATTTCATAACTGTTCCCTGTGATTTCTAACTCCACTCGGCATTGTCACATCTCAGTGCCCACTGGATTACCCACAGCAAAGTTTTGATCCCGCCGTAATGGGATTCTTGCCTCTACAGACATATGCAATAATAAATAGCAGACAATAATCACAAGCATATGTTAAGTGCTAATGAGTGGTACAAACAGAATCACTGAATTAAGAAGTGAGAAGGGGCGCTTGGCTGGCTCCATGGGTAGAGCATGCAACTCTTGATCTCGGGGGTCATGAGTTCAAGCCCCACATTGGGTGTAGAGCCTACTTAAAAAAAAAAAAAAGATTCTGTGTGGGAACAGTGGTGGTATGTGCCTGTGACTTTAGCAGTCACATTAAAAAAGCATCACAGATTCAGGAGAAGCTTCTAACAACCACCTGGCTGGCTCAGTCAGTACAGCATACTACTCTTGATCTCAGGGTCATGAGTTTGAACTCCACGTTGGGCCAAGAGCTTACATTGAAGAAGAAGAAGAAGGAGAAGAAGGGGAAGAAGGAGAAGAAGAGGAAGAGGAAGAAGGAGGAGGAGAAGGAGAAGGAGGAGAAGAAAAAGAAAGAAGAAAGAAGAAGAAGAAGAAGAAGAGGAAAGAAGAAGGAAGAAGAAGAAGAAGAAGAGGAAGAGGAAGAAAACACTGGGGGCCAGTGGGAGCCAGCGGGACAGGCCTCAAGATGGAGGTGTGCTTGAATAGGGCCTCAGAAGACAGTGGGTTTCAGATAGACTGAGTTAGGGAGAGCCTTATTCAGGACTCTGAGTTAGCACTGGCCAGTGTAAGGCACGCAGCTGCCCATCATTTCTCTAGCCAGAGGAAGAGATGGCTCATCATTCAGGATACTCTTTTAGGGGCGTCTTCCTAACCTAGCTCCTCCAACTATATATAACTGATCCTCAGAGTGAACATTATTTTCTCTCTCTACTCTGAATTCAGTAGTTACCTGATGATGTCCTAACACGATGTCAGTCCCAACAAAACAGTGAAAATCTTTTGCTCCTGAAATTCAGGCATATAGAGGTTCAGGGTATCAGCCTTCAGTCTGTCTTCCCTTCACATGCTGTTGGCTCTGCACCGGAACCCTATTTATCTCCTCTTCCTCAGGTAGGACTCGCAAGACTTTCCATCAGAAGCTGCTTTTGTGCCCTCAGGTAGATGGGGAGGAGTCCACCCTTCTTTAGAACCAAAACGTGGGAAAACATCCACCCGTTCACTTACAGGCAGACATTCTCCTTCAACTTGTTTGGCAATAACTAACTGCCAAACACCCAGCTACCTACCCCCCTCACCACCAAGGTTGAGGTTGAAAGATGTAAATCTCTATAATGTAATTCCTGAGCTTGAACTGGGAATTTGGGGCTGCAGTAAAGAAAAACCATTTTTATAAGACCAGAAAGACCTGGGTTATATGAAAAACATGTAAGAAAGACTGTCTCCCTTTCAATGAGATAAACATCTGGCTATCTAAAAATCTTTTCATGGTGTTCTTAATTTGGGGATTTCATCAGATATTTGGGTTTCTGCAAACATAGTTATGCATTGAAGCAGGGGCTCCTCTATTCTTTCGCTCTTTTTTTATAGGCTCTTCCATTTGGGAAAAAATATAATCTATTCATGGGTACATCAGCCAGCCTCTATAGTCCTGGGCTCTGGAGTTACACAAAAGAGGATGAGAACGCTATACTCGCTCCCATGTATCTTTGCGATCTATTTGAAAAGACTCACAGAGTTAACAATGTAAATTCTAATGGAAACGAGCGTGTAACTAAATGCCAGCTAAGTGGGATTTGCCGTGGGTACATCAGGGGTCATTCTAAACCAGCGAGGCGAGGATGTGATTTAGGTTTGAAAGACCAGACTGTCATCAATGAGTGGAAGACAAACAAGGACAGCAGAGGTTGTTGGGCAAAGACTGCAAAGGCGCATCCAGGGGATGGTGATCAGCAAGCCCAGGCTGGACAGAGGACTCTGGTTGGAGTGGAACAGATTGGGGCAAGGTGGGAGGTAGGATTAGAAGTGCCATGGAGGGAGGGAGAGGACAAACACACAGGACCCTGAATGTCATTTGGTAAAGCAACAGAGGGATAATTCAGGGTTTGGGGGGAGGTACGATGGGCGCTGCATTTTAAAGAGATTATTCTGGCAGCAGTGGAATGAGAGGGGAGACAGAAAAGAACATGCTAGGTGACTGATACCGTCAGACAGAAGGGCATCAGCGTGGTGGTTGTCAACAGTAGGAACTGTGAAGAAAGAGACAGGAAGACAAGCAACGTTATTAAACGTTATTATTAGACAGTATTAAAGTCAGGGACAGAAGGAATCAAAACGATCAAAGATATCAGTGATAGAAGAGTCAAGCCTAGCAGGAATAATTCATGATTCTCAGTGGGAACCTGAGTTGCAGAAGGAAGGGCTCCTGCTCGGGCGGGGGGCGGTGTGCTGTGAACCTGAGGTGCAGTGTGGGGAGCACCCTCTGTCCGCGTTGGCCCACAAAGTGCTGATAGCAATTTCACACGTGTCGATTTGGGTCCAACGTAAGAAAACCTTTTTCATGTTTTTATAAGCCCAAGAAACTGAGCAGACTCCCACAATAAGAGTGAACTTTCCCCTACATTGGTATTTACTTAACCACTAACGTGGCAAAAATCAGAATGGAGTGTTTGTCAATTCGGGAGGTTCCAGGGTTGAGTAAGAGGGGAACTAGTTCCATGCAGACATTCCAGATCCTATTTGCTAACCTAAACTGAAGCAATATGAACGGCCCAAGATGCAAGAAATGTCATATCTTGATGGACACATCTGTCAGGACTCTTTTCATTACAAGTCACAGAAACTTGACACAGGCTATCTTGAGCAAAACAGAAATTTCTTGACTTGCAAAACCGAGAAGTCCAGGATTCGTGCTCGTCTCGGGGGTGCAAATGATGGGGTCGGAGTCCAGCCTATACCCGTCTCTTCGCTCTGCTCCCCTTTGGCTCCGTTCTCAGGCAGGGTTCCTCCAGACGTGGTAACATGGCTGCTCA